AGCATTGAAACATGTATATTATCAAGGGTGAAACAGATCACCAGCCCAGGTTGGATGCATGAGACAAGTGCTCAGGGCTGGTGCACTGGAAAGACCCAGAGGGATGGGATGGAGAGGGAGGTGGGAGGGGGGATCGGGATGGGGAAACACATGTAAATCCATGGCTGATTCATGTCAATGTATGGCAAAACCACTACAATACTGTAAAGTAATTAGCCTCCAACTAATAAAAATAAATGGAAAAAAAAATCCACCTAATTATTGTGCTTAGACATGAAACTACAATTACAAACTTAAGTTCTCAATTTTTTTTTTTACCTAAATTAAATATTTATACTTTCTATATTTCCATACTTTCAGATTACATTGCAAATGTGTAATCACTTGCTTCTTTCTCTTTTTTTAAGAGTTATATTTTATTTGGTGGCAGTTTTTAGGACTTCAAACCCAGGAGAGAGCATCTTAAGTAACCCTGAAAGAACTGTTCCGTGGAGGCAGAGGGGGAGAAGCCAAGCTATAAAAAAGTTTGCAACAAGCGGCAGGTAGTCTAAACATCAAAAATTATTGTTAATTAAGGAAAACCAGTTACCTCAAGTTAAAGAATTTAGTGCTTTTCTTTGTATGGGAAGATGCAAGAGCCTGGGCTCACTGAAATCATGCAATCTCTCGCTTTTGATTAAAGTCCTAACTCATTATTTATTGAGTACCTGGCAGGTAGCTTGTAAATGTAACTCTGCCCATTTTCAGTCCAGATGATGACTTTATCGGCTGAGACAAAGTCACCTCCCGTCCACGTCTGCCCATTTTCACTCGGACCCGAGCACAACAGGGAGTAGTCTCCAGCATCAAATACCTAGGAGGAGTAAGAGATTCACATTCAAGTCCATGCTGGGGTCACTTAAGTAAAACACAACAACATTTTAACTGAAATAAAAACTTCTAGAACCATATTTAATAACCTCAGGCCTTTACAGCTGGCTACCTCAGTTACAGACATTTTGTCAGTGAACCCTGGGGCACAGTTACCTTCAACAGGGAAACCATGACACATCCCCAGCCTCCGGTGGGCAGGCAGGAGACTGTGACCGCAGGGGTCAGGGGTGCTCCATCCACACGGACAGGAATCCTTAGTCTTTCTCAGCTAAAGGCAAGGGTGCTCCATCACATGACAAGTACCCAACCTCCAGCATGCATGGTGACGACTCCCAGTTTTTTCCTACTTTTTTTCTAGTAAGAAAGTTCAGTTCAGTCGCTCAGTCGTGTCCGACTCTTTGCAACCCCATGAACCGCAGCACGCCAGGCCTCCCTGTCCATCACCAACTCCCAGAGTTTATTCAAACTCATGTCCATTGAGTCAGTGATGCCATCTAACCACCTCACCCTCTGTCATCCCCTTCTCCTCCTGCCCTCAATCTTTCCCAACAGCAGGGTCTTTTCAAATGAGTCAGCTCTTCGCATCAGGTGGCCAAAGTGTTGGAGTTTCAACTTCAGCATCAGTCCTTCCAATGAACACTCAGGACTGGTTTCCTTTCGGATGGAATGGTTAGATCTCCTTGCAGTCCAAGGGACTCTCAAGAGTCTTCTTCACCCCTCAGATTGTTATTTCCAAATAATACATGGAAAGCTTTGGAAAATATGATAGGCACTATAGCAGGTAATCAAAACTTGCTGGCTCTTTTTCTATTAAGGAAACATTAAAGTCTAGCAATGTGAAAAGCAATATGCACCTTTCACCGTTAGCTCTAAAGTGACAGAAGAAGACCTTCCTGATTCCAAGATGTCAGAAAAGGATGGCAATTGGGAATGATAACCTACAAAGATATGTCCCAACTTGCAGAATTCACTACCATTGCCCATGCCGTACTGACAAGGCAATGAAGAATATGGCAGCAAAACACAAAACTTAAGAACTAATAAACAGTGACTGAATCATTCTATGAACCAAATCAAAAAAAGGCAATTATGTAGCCAAATTCCATACCTCAGAATATATCAAAAACAGACCAAATATTTAAAATATTCTAACACCAAGCTTCTCCTTACAATTATCTTTAGAAAGCTGATCAACCAAAATCTTGAAGAGCAAAAATGCAGTTTCTTACTTATGTAGTTATCTTACCCTCCAATACTTGGAGCACACCACCAAAAGTGACCTTTGTGTGAACGCACAGAAAGAGATGCTTTGGCAATTCTGACAGTAAATTGGTTTCGATTCCTCCTCAAATATTGGCTCAGTATCCTGAAGAGAGAAATATTTGTAAAAACTTTAGGGTCGGCAGGATTGTCAATTTAAATTATCACACAATGATAAAGAAAACAAAACAAAGGCGTCACTTGATGTGCTCATCAATTTAGCCCCTCATGTCGAGCACTAAGGTAGTATAAGGTAGCCAAAATACACTCTAAAATCACGTGGGCACAACATCTTCGCTACAAAGCTACTCAAGATTAATAGACTAATGAGAGTCTGAGTGTCATCACTGGCAATGACAGATGCTAAAAATTTTAGTTAATCTTAATTTGTCAGTTTCATACATAAGCTTGTAGGTTAAAAAAAAAACAACAAGAAAACATCATTTCCTCCAGTTTCTCCCAGATTCAATGTCTAAAAATTCCCTAACAGAAGAGATTAGTATCTCCTGCCAGATACTTGATCTGCCTTTCTTACTGATGAAAAGCAAGAAGGAATTCAAGTCTAAGGAACTCAGAGGACTAACACTGGCTTTGTAGCCTTTTTGCAGAAGTTTGCTTTCCCCCACCTCAAGCAAACTGCCTTTTCCATTTAAAGAGAAGCAGCGGAGGAAAGCCCTCTTCTGTGATTCTCCACCCCATACCCTGTACAGTATGTTTCTCTGCTTTGCATCCTTGATAAAGCAGACGTCTACCATCAAAAGGGAAAACAATAGTTCATGTACAGAGATGGCATTCTAGGGGAATCTTCTCCACTATGTCAGTAAGACTACGTAAAAGGAAAGCTTTTTCTTTCCTCTTTAAGCAAAAAAGGGAAGCAGCCTATCGTGACTACAATGTAAGACTCCTCAAGAACAAAAACAGAGAACCCACTTCCAGCCTGCTTTGTCTCACCTGCAGGTCGCTGATTTCCGAGGTGACGATCCACACCTTCAAGATGCCCGTCACTGAGAGTGCCAGCACGGTGTCCTCTGCACCGAGAAGGGAGAAGCAGCCGGTTACACGCGAAGTATGATCGCTTTCTACACAGTAACGTGGCCACAGCAGGGACGTGGACCATGGTTTGCTTTAACCAAACTAAGTAACAGCACGTTTTACAATTAGCATGAAAACCTAATTCTCGGTTTTAGGAAATAACAGAAACCAGATTTTGAGACACAGATTAATAAAGATGATCAAACATGCGGAATTCAAAGAAAACCTGTTTTTAGCTGCTTGATTTCTTATTTCTAACTTGTAGGCTTTAATAATCTCAAACATTCTTGATTATTATCATGTCAACAATTAACCTTAAAGAACTTTTTAAGAACAAATTTTAAAAATTAAAAAACAACCTTTAGTCTTCAAAGTTCACTTTTATTTATCCTAAGGAAGCACATTCATATTGTTGCTTCAGGGCACACATTTCCCTTCCCACCTACCTCACCTGCCTTTAAGACATTTTATTGTGGCTCAACTGGTAAAGAATCCGCCTGCAATAAGGGAGACCTAGGTTTGATCCCTGGGTTGGGAAGATCCCCTGGAGAAGGCAAAGGCTACCCACTCCAGTGTTCTGGCCTGGAGAATCCCATGGACTGTGTAGTCCACGGGGTCACAAAGAGTCGGACACAACTGAGTGACCTTCACTCCCTCGCTCACTCTCTCCATAGACCACGACCAAGGGAAAGACAGGGTATAAAAGCTAACCCATCAGCTTCGGGTGAGGGGGGAATCACGGCACCACAGTAATATTCACAGACTCTGCGAGGCGGGGCATCAGACAGCAGTCTAAGGTAGGCTCCAGGGCACTGGAGGGACGTGTTAAAAATCTCATTTTCTTCACTAATTAACCACTGAACTGTGGATACCTGAACGAACCTACCTTAAATTCAATTTGCTTATCTATAAGCAAATATAACAGAGAAGGCAGTGGCAACCCACTCCAGTGCTCTTGCCTGGAAAATCCCATGGACGGAGGAGCCTGGTAAGCTGCAGTCCATGGGGTCTCGAAGAGTTGGACACGACTGAATGACTTCACTTTCACTTTTCACTTCTCACTTTCATGCATTGGAGAAGGAAATGGCAACCCACTGCAGTGTTCTTGCATGGAGAATCCCAGGGACAGCGGAGCCTGGTGGGCTGCCGTCTATGGGGTCACACAGAGTCGGACACGACTGAAGTGACTTAGCAGCAGTAGCAGCAGCAGGCAAATATAAATGAATAACATAACGACAGCACTTAGCTTAATAGGTTGTTATGAGAATTAAGACACCACAGGTATAGCCCTTGGCCCGTCAGTACAGATTAGTCATCACTGTTATTGAAAAGAACTGCTTACTATCTTTCAGTAAAAACTTTATTTGTAATGCCTGGTTCCCTCGGCAAGTTTAAGTGCTGAAATGCACTGATTACAATTCCATGATCATTGTATAAAGAAGCTAGAATTGCTCACAAGTTGTCAATTACAGTAAAAGTGCAATATACCAATCAAATTCTCAAATCTCCACACACGAGAATATGGCAAAGTAGATTAAAAATAAGTATGGTAGCAACATTGTAAACAGACAACATTTAGAACTGTATGTACAGCACAACATATTCCATTAAAGTTGCATTCTACCCTGCTCAGACCATAATGCAAGCATATATACTAGACAGATGGCTATTTCCCATGCATACCTACATAAGGCTTTACACGTGTGCGTGCTAAGTTGCTTCAGTCATGTCCAACTCCGTGCAACCCCATGGACTACAGCCCGCCAGGCTCCGCCGTCCCTGGGATTCTCCAGGCAAGAATACTGGAATGGGTTGCCATTTCCTCCTCCAGGGGATCTTCCCAACCCAGGGGTCAGACCCACATCTCTTATGTCTCCTGCACTAGAAGGAGGGTTCTTTACCATTAGCGCCACCTGGGAAGCCCCCAAGGCTTTATGCACCTATGTACAAACTACTTCCTCTGCCAGAAACATCACGACCCCACGTCTGACAAACTCCTCTTCACCTTCCAAAGCCTAGATGAGACTTCATCAAATCTGGGTAGCCTCCCTACTTGCCCTCAAAGCCACTTCACTGCCTTTGCTAATTCTGGCCTCTGTACTATTTCTCTGTCTTTTCACACATCACACCCCGAAACTGCCATTTGTTTATATATCATCCTCCCTTCCTAGAATTTGAGTCCTGCCAGTAGTTCAATCCTCTGTACCTAGAAAAGAGTAGGCCCTCAATAAATATTTGCAGCATGGCCATTGAATAAAAAGCTATGGAAAACTCCCAGGGAAGGCAGTTTACCAATGGGCATGACGTAACCCACTGGTAAAAGCAACCACTCTGGGGGTCCATCTGGGCGCCAGTAAGCCACAGGCTTGCTGTGTGACTCTAAGTGCAGACTCCATCATGCTAAACTTCATCCGTCTCCTCATCCACACGTCCTACAACAGTAGTGGCTACGTCACCGAGCACTGTG